AGTCATGTATGAGTGTTTCCATTTCTGCACATCCTCCTCAACCCTGGTTATTGTCCATCTTTCTTATCACAGTGGGTGTGTAGTGGTAGCTAGTTGGTTTGGGTTTGCATTTCCCTGATGACTAACGGCACTAAGCATCTTTCCATGTGTGTATCGTTGGAGAAATGTCTGCTCAGATTCTGTGTCCACTTTTAATACTGTCTTTTTATTATCGAAAAACTTGAACTTTGAATGGCCATTCAACTGCACTTTAAAATTCAGTCCCAGTAGGCAGAGGTTGGACTCCTCCAATTGGATGTCTCATCCCAGGAAACAGGATACCATTCTGGGAGAACTCCAGTCCCTCAACCCGTGGTTCTTACTCTCTTTCTGGTTCACAGACATCTTCAAGAATCTAACGAAAACTATACACCCTCTCCCCAGAAAAAGGCACACATGAGCATCGTTATATTTTGCACTTATTATCAGGGAGTTCCAGAACCTTCTACCACTCAACCATTGCCTTGATTAGGGCCTTTCTTTTCATACAAGGAGTGCAAAACTACTTCTGATTGGATGATTGCCACATCATTGAAGCCGGGCTTAACAGATAACCTAAAATTTCCAAATTCTAGCTTCCCACAGAGAAAAATGTTGTGAACCATGTTGTTCAAATAATCAAAATGCCACCATGGAGAACGAGCTTCCACAGAAGATTGCTTCGAAGGCCTGCACCCACCCCTCTTTCTAAACGCCCCCCTTGGATCCCGTCCGGCCCTGACAGGCTTACCCCGTCACACACGTGGCCCTCTCAGGTGGCTTCCTGAGCTAGACCGCAGCCTCACGCCAGCCAGCACCCCGAAGGCCCTGCAAGGACACTGTACGGGTGATTTTATGATTGTCAGTTATGAAATGCTGGCCCCCTACCACAAATGTGCACGTGCCTTCCCAAATGGGCATACACGGAGCAAGCCTGGGGTCTGTCTTGGCCTTGGGGAACACACACAGCTTTGAGGGGTTTTCTCCTCTGCTCCTGCAGCTCCCCAGTGCAGGCAGCTCGCTCAGCTGCCCACCCCAGGAGCTGGCCTGGACCCACGCTTGCTGTCTCCTTTTCCTTACACCCTGATTCTTCTTGTTTCTTTTTTTTTTGAGTCGGAATCTCACTCGGTCGCCCAGACTGGAGTGACCGCTCCCGGTCACCGCAGCCTTGCCTCCTGGGCTCCGGCGATCCTTCCGCCTCAGCCTTCCGAGTAGCCGGAATTACAGGCATGCGCTACCATGCCTGGCTGATTTTTTGTAGAGATGAGGTCTCGCCAAGTTGCCCAGGCAGGTCTCGAACCCGCGGGCTCAGGCAGTCCACTCACCTCAGCCTCCCAAAGGCACGGGATTACAGGCTGAGCCACCGAGCCCGGCTTCTTCTTGTTTCTTTTTGAAGTACTTGTGCATTCTACTTCAGACTGTTGGGACTGTTCAGACAGCTGGCAGGTTTTTTTTTTTTTTAAATGTGGGGTACAACTCAGGGTTAGGTATACAAACGGTCATCATGCAGGAGCCCTTGCTGATGAGGTGGGCGGATTTCTTTTCTAACCTTTTGTCATTCCACACTTCAACCACTGTTGAGGACAACATTCTGCTTAGCCCGCGTCCTCAACGACACAGAGCTTATTTTAGTTCGTTTCTCACCTGTGACTTTCAGGTGCTGCACTCAAGGGTGCTTTGCCAATGGACACCCACCACCCATCACTGACCAGGTGCTCTGTGTGTGAATGAGAGGGGAGACAGAATGGTTTGAGTTAAGTAGATGCACAGAAACCCTGTGCTGTCACATTTTTCTATGCTTGTTGAGCTGAAATGAGGTAACACAGGAAGGCAGTGTGCAGGCCCGTGGGAACTCGGCTGGGTTCCCCTCCCTGAAATCCACCCGGGAACCCAGTGAGAAATGCCCTGGGAGTCCAGGGAGGAGACTGAGATAATTGCCCGACCAAACAGTACCTGTAAACACCCAGAGCAGACCGCAGACCCCTCGTCCTGTCACCCCATTCAGGTGCCCTAGCCACTCAGATTTTGTAAAATGTGCGTTAAGAAACAAACTCAAGTTTAGTCTTGGCACATTTTAATGTTTGGTAGATCTTTTTGAAAAATCGGGTTGAGAGATTAAAGACAATCAAATATTCTAACACATTTAGACAACAGAAAACATGTTATAGATGTAAGGGAATACACAGTAGCCCATGGCTCCTTAAGGATTCCCAGCGGCTACAGTCTGTCACTGTTGGCCCTCGTTAACACTAGCATGAACATCTCAGAAGTGGGCTGTAGCCTGGATTTCCAGCTGAAGCCACCCCCCCCCCCCGCAACCTGTAGCAATTCGCATAGGTATGGTACTTTCAGAGTCTGCAAAGCCCTTTTAGAAATATATTCTCAAGCCGGGCTCGGTGGCTCAGCCTGTAATCCCGCGCCTTTGGGAGGCTGAGGTGAGTGGATTGCCTGAGCCCGCGGGTTCGAGACCCGCCTGGGCAGCGAGACCTCATCTCTACCATAAATCAAAAAATCAGCTGGGCGTGGTAGCGCATGCCTGTAATTCCAGCTACTTGGAAGGCTGAGGCGGAAGGATCGCCGGAGCCCAGCAGGCGAGGCTGCGGTGGCCGGGAGCGGCCACTGCACTCCAGTCTGGGCGACTGAGTGAGACTCCATCTCAAAAAAAAAAAAGAGAAACATATTTTCAGTAAGTCCTCCCAACCACACGAGATACTGGCCCCGTTTTACAGAGGGACCCCGGTGAGGCCCACAGCGGGAGTGACGTCACCCGGCCAGCATCTACTTGGGCCTGCCTGTGCGAGGCAGCCCGGGGCTCAAGGGAGGCAGAGCCTCGCCTGAGATAAAAACGGGTGGACAGCAGTGTGCGTGACTGAGGGGGCACATGGGCTGTTGTGGGAACAACGGGGGGAAACGCTCCCTAAGTCTGGCCAGGGAATGTGGGAAAGCTTTGCCAAGGTAAAGTAGCCGAGTGAGTGGGGTATGTGAAGGGCACGTGGGAAGAGATGGCAAGCCCAAAGGATGGCACGCACGCCAGCATAAAGGAACAGGGTAGTGCCCCTGGGGAGGGATGTCAGCCATCGGCTCGAGCCCCCTGCATCCTCCTGGGGCCTCGCCCTGGACCAGGCCAGCAAAGTCCTGGCCCTCTAGGGGTTTAATTCTAGACATACAAGTAGACAAAACGTAAATCAAGCAATTAAGGGATTTCGATGGTGCTGAGGAGTGCGGGGGAAGTAATACAAGGCAGTGAGCTAGAGAAACTCAAAGGCAGGTCTGAGAGGCCGCAGTCAGGGATGGCTTGCTCAGTTGGGGACCTTGGAGTACAGGCCTGATGGGAAAACCACCAATGAAGGTAAGGTGAGAGAACGGGAATATTCCAGGTAAAAGACCCTAACAAGTTAACACTTGCTGCACTCAAGAAACAGAAAGGAGGCCAGGCTGGGTGGAGCTCAATGAAGCACGTGGTGAGTGATGTGGACAGGCCCAGTTAATCAAGGCCCCGCAGGCCCTCTAGTGTGGATTGTATTCTGAGTGCGGCAAGAAGGCTTGGGAGGGCTTTCAGGACAGTCGTGGTCACCTGTTTCTTTTAAATTTCTAAAGGACAACTTGAGGCTCCGTGGAGAATGAATTGCTGGTGTCACAAGTGGAGTCATACCAGTCAGGAGGCTACTGCCAGACTCCAGATGAGAGAGCGAAGCCATCTCCGTCAGGGTGGTGCAGTGCCTGAAAGAAATGGCTGTGTCTGAGACAGATTTTGGAGGCAGAATGGACAGGACCTCCCAAATGGCTAGATATGGAGATATGAGTTAGGAAGGACTTCAGGGGAACTCCAGGGACTGGCACAGCATGCTGCTACGTCCTGGTATGGAATCTCAGCAAGGAGAATAAGGCCTTCTCTCTTGCAAATGGCATAGATGTCCATCAGACATTCGAGGGAAGAAATCTCATGAGCAGCTGGGTATCTGAGACAGCAGCCCTGGGGAGCAGTGAAAATCAGTAACAGATGTAGGGATCAACGGACTACAGGTAATATTAAGAGCCTGAGAAAGGAATGGACAGGTCTAGGGAGGAGCACGTTGAGAAGACCCATGTCAAAGTTCCATGTCAGAAGAGGAAGTGCCAGAGAGGCGGGACGAGATGGAGTGGCGGGGGAGCGGAGAGGAAGCCAGGAGTGCCAGGGTGCAGAAGCCAGGCGAGAGGCCAGTGCATCGAGCACTGCTGAGGCTGCTGGATCACCAGGGACCCGGAGAGCAAGAAGGTCGCTGCATGGAGGGGATGGAAGTGGGCTGGGAGGGCTAATAAGAACTGAAACAATCACTGCCGACGACGCTTTGCAGAAATGTCTGGGTGAAGGGGGGCAGGCAGACATTCGGAGCCGTAGACAGAGGGGCGCATGGAGTTGAGGTTTCTCGTTTTTTAAGAAGGGAGAAATGACAGGATGCTTGCATGCTAATGGGAAAGACCCACCAATGAAAGAACCACAGGAGCCACGCCTCTGTGCCAAAACGCACGTACCTCACCTTCCCGTCTCTAATGGCAGGTCCTGGTTCCCTTGCTGGCGCTATTGCCTGTGATCCTCAAATGCGGGCATCATTCTGGCCCAGGCCCCATCTGCGCCTTGTCTCTCCATGCCCTCCCTGGTGGATCTCATCAGCTCCCAGAGTCTCAGATGCCTCTGGCAAGTCGTCACCCAGATCCATCTCCTAGCTGAACCTGGGCTCAGCAGGGCAGATGTGGAACATTCAGTTCCACTGGAAGTTCCTGGGTGCCACACTCTGAAGCCAGCCTCTCCCTGCCCGACGTCCTCTTCTCCTTGAGTTCTGAGCAGGAGAAAGCTCTGTGCCAAACTTCTTCAGCAAGGTTCCCTGTCTGCACTGCCCCGCTGGCTGGCACATGGAAAAACCAGTCTATCGGTCCAGACCAGCTTGGCCCTTATACCCATGCTTCCACCACATATTTCCCTTAAAGGAAGTGCCCGTACTTACTTTATTTTCAACATGCACCATAAACTCTTTATTTTAATTAGTACACAGCTATTCACATTAAAGTCGGCAAGATAAAATATTGTTATGGCAATAAATATTCATATGAGAAAAAAGTCTAGCAAAGTGGTTTATTCTTACAAGTTACTGCTGGAAGAAGCCCTTTAAACAAACCAGTGTGGTGAGAATGCCTGAGAGAAAGAAGCATCTGTGTCAGATGTTTCCACCACTGCTTGAGTGTGCAGCATCCTCATAACTTTCTATGTTTCTGTTTTTAAAGAGCTGCTACTTCCAGTGACGCAGCTCTCTGACGTTATTTTTTTGTCCAAGTCTGATTTTTCAAGAGCCTACTTGAGGGTTGTGAATTGTCTCACCGTCTTTTCGCTCTCTCTTTTTAGTTCTTCGATGTGGGCATCCAGGCGCTCTAGAATGTGATGAGATCGCAGCTCCTCCTCTTCCAAAAACCTGGTAGCTATTGAGCCAAGGGGAGACACAGGCAAGGAGCACTGGAAGAGAAGCACATTTTGACATGTGTACGTAAGCAGAATGCTGCATTTCGAAGGCACACTGTTCATATTTTCTAGCTAGCAATATTGAAGGTGACTTTTTATCCCCGAAGGGATCTTTTTCATTTTCATTCTAATGACAAGAGAAGTAAAATAAAACAATCAGTAAGTTCTGTGAAAATTTACAGACTCCTCCCCTTCTGACCCAAGTTGTATCAACATAAAGTGCCATATAAATATGTTAGTTATTGGTCTGAAGAGCATCTCAATTTAGACACATGCAAGGGGGACCCAGAGAAACCAGAACTTACTTCCAAAAATTGTGTGTTTATTCCCACATGTTTAAAGTTCAATCACCTTCAAAATACTCTCATTTGATGCAATACACCTATTGAGATGCTTTCTCCACTGCTCAATACAGTTTCTGAACTCGTCCATTTGGATGCTTTCTACTGCTTCTGCCATTTTTGGTTTCACCTCTTCCACATCAGCAAAATGTTTCCCTTTGAGGACTCTTTTCATCCAGGGAAACAAAAGAGCCACTCGCGGTGAGATCAGGTGAATTGGGAAGGTGAAGGACGGGGGCCATGCTGCTTTTGGTTAAAAAGTGCTGCTGAGCACTCAGTGTGGTGTGGGCAAGTGCATTCTCATGGTGGAAGAACCAGTCACCTGTCTGCCACAACTCCGGATATCTCTTCTGCAGATCTTCCAGAAAAAACTTTCAGAAAAAACCTTTCGTTTACTGTTTGATCGGGAGGAACAAATTCCAAGTGTACTACAAGGAGTCTGCCCTCCAAAAGATAATTCTGGGTGTTTTGGGTTCCCCCCCTCCCCCGTAGCCTTCTATACTCCAGGAGAGAATACAGCTAATGTCTATTACTTCAAACTCACTTTAAAAGTCTAACTATGTCGTTTTCATTTTAAAGCACAGAAAAATTAAACAAAAATAAATTAAACGGCTGCTAAAATCATTTTTTTCTCCCTCCAAAATTTCAATCCACCGTCCCTTGTCCAAAAACCTTGGGGTCAGTGATGTTTCAGAATTCCAATTTAGAAGAGTATTACAGGACACACGCTATATGCAGTCAGTACCTATTGGCAGTAGGTATGTTCGCCAAGTCACCCAGAACCCCGATTTGCCAAATACAGAATTACTGGCCCCAGGGGAAGTACACACAACATATACACTCCCTCGCACAGAGAATAATCCCAAATCCCAGAAACAACCCACCCTGACAGACGTCTTCTTTATTTTGCAAAAGAGACACGAGGTTCAGAAGCAGTGCTGGTGCTGGGATTCAGACCCCGTCTGGCTGGCGCAGAGCTTTGTGTGTGACACGGACTGCTCCATGACCTCCACCCTCTGGTCACCTCGTATGAGCACTGAGCAAGAAGCCTGACCTTGGCTGGAAACGCTCAAGCCAGCGACAAACTTTTCACTGCTCTGTGTATGGCCACGCAGGACAGTGGAAAGCCGCACATACTGACTTGGGAGTTGCAAATAAAGCTCAAGGAATGGGAGACTTTGCCAGTACAGAATCCATGAATAAAGAAGACCAACCGTATCACAATGGCAGAGTTGGAGGTAACATCCCATTATCAAACACTGATATTTCTGAGCAAAATGCACGGACACTCGCATTAAGTGCGATATAGTCTAAACATATTATAACATCAGGTCAGGTCAGTAAAGGTTCTGGTGCCCCCAAAAAATCTGCCATTAAACTTGGGAAGAAAGTTAGTTTTCAGGGTTTTCATTAAAAATTTTAGATGCACCTCTAAGTGGAGACTTAAACTAAAAGCAAACTTTCCCATGGCCTTGTAGGCAAAAATACTGACTTGTACCTTCATTGCCCTTCCCTCCCCAACAGCTCCCCTTTCCTTCTTCTCTGCCTGTGCCTGGGGGCTGTCCTGGCACAGAGGCACTCCTTGACCCAAACATTCCAGGTAAAACTGAGCCTGTCTGAAAAAGGCAGGAAGAAAATTTCCAATTAAGGCTAGAGATAATTTTTCGTTCTATTTACCTACAACTTGCATTCTGTTTCAGAATTGGAATGTATTTTGAAAAGTAATCTCGACTGACTGTGTCTTTCTAAGCAAACCCGTAAAACAGAAATGCATGAGAATAAGAAGGATACTTATGATAGAGAAAAAAGCAAGCAAAGAAGCACCATCCTCTTCACTCTTAAAGTACAAATAAGATCAAACTAAAAACCAAACTAGTAGGATGAGAGAGTTTCCATACCAAGGACATAAATTCTTCCTGGTCATTCACAGTCTCAGACACCGAGTCAGAAAGACTGGCTTCATCTTTATCTAGCTCTGAAGGCAGAGAGTGAGTTCCACACAGAAAGTAGGAAGGCAAAGAGATGGTGGAGCTGCGAGGGCTGAGCTGAGGACTCACAGGGCTTAGGACCCTGCGCACGGGGTCTACACTCTCTGACGCTTGGCCTCTCGGAGAATGAAGACCTGTTTTGCAGGACTCGGTCTTCATTCCATCACGTCTGTGCTGGCCATGGGCTGGCCTGGATATAGGTTAGAAGACAAAACAAACAAAAAATTGTAGCATCTGTTCTCTTTCCAACAGAAATGTTGTAGGAAGTTCACTTAAAAATAAACAACAGGCTAACTAACAAGGCTGCAATTTACGAAATGAGCAGCCCACTAAGACCAAGCATTCTTTCACGCAGTCAGGCCCTAAATGTCCCATCCCCGCTGCCAAGCCCCTGCCCTCACACATTTACAATATGGCAGGGGAGACAGGCATGCTGCCAAGGCAGCCCAGTGTGGTCAGCGCCTAGACAGGGGAAGTACTGTGCCCATAAGAAGCTACCTAACTTCACCAGGGACTGGGTGGGAGCAGGAGTGGACACGAGGGTGGGGCAGGGTGTCAGCACAGGTTTCACAGGCTTCTGGCTGGAGAACACCTAAGACATACGGGATATGGCCTGACACTGAACGCTTACTTCTTATGGTAACAGCCTACACTTCATTGACCCAAAATAGAAAAGAGGCTTTTTATTAAGAGATAAACTCTACTTCTTATGGGGCAAGTGAGGTTGGAAAGGTGGGAGTCAGCATAAAAAGGCTCAGGGGAATAAAGATGTTGTTTAGACCGACACCCAGAGTGTACAAAACGAAAGACTTAATGAAAATGCCAGACACGTCCCCCCTCAATTCTTTAACCTGATGATAGCTTCTACTCATGTACATGACACTTCTGAATTAAACAGAGTCCTTAGATGAAGATTTAATTTTTGTAAGTCAGAAATCATTCTCAAAGAAATGAGAATTATATTACATCCATGCACATTTTAAATAGACTTTTAAGAAATTTTACTTGAACTCTGTATCCTTGAACTCAGCTGTTCTGCTGTGTGTTGGTTTAAAGATCCTGTCATTTTGCTTTTTGCACATCTGAGTGGAAATCTCCAGCTGAGATTTAGTATTCATCAAATCTTTCTGCAGTTGTTGATTTTCAGACACTAGTTTATTTAATGCCTCAATATAATTCTCCTGGAGGTCTGCTAGTGAAATCTCTTTTGCCTAACAAAAAAGAATACTAGAGTCACTAAATTTATACACGGATACTTGTGATGTCTGATACTGCTGCTTGACAAGTTCAATGTCTTTTAGTTGTAAGTAGTTAATCTACGGCTTTACTTTGGAAAAGGTGAAGATTTGTTTTTGTCTCCTAAGATTAACAGAGAAAAAGGTTCTGCTGCTTAGAGTAAACGGCAAGGGAAAGTTAGACATGCAGTTGGCTTCCTTATGTGCCAAGGAGTTTCCGAGGGCCTGGAAGAAGGAGGGAGCCAGGATGGAGAAAGACAGAAAACAGCAGCCAAGGCCTCCTGCGGGAAGGAGAGGACCAGACGACCCCAGACCCCTGTGGAAGGAAGTGAGACCCAAATCAGAGAAAGGAGGTTGAGCAGGAGGTTCTCAGAGGAACTTCTGGCTGTCAGGAATGACTTTTAAGTAAGTGATCTCAAACACTCTTCTACAACTTTGCACCTATTCCTATACGCAAATTTAGACATGCTAAAGCAGAACTCAGGCACATGGTGGAATTCCCGTCCTGGCCTGGTCTTAGTTCTGTGGCCATAAGTTGTGTTAGTTGTATTGCTCTTCCATTCCAAGTGTTTCCTGGTACATGAAACTACATGAAAAAAACGGCAGCTGAGTGATTTTTTTTCTAATGACAAAATATTTTAATTAGTGTTCTGCAAAGTTATGGCAATCTTTGGAGTTTAATACAATGGTTGGCTCAGATTTTTCTGTTAAAAGAAAAAAAAAAAACTTCTGAAAGTAAGCTGGTCAAGAATAGCTGGCAAATATAATTTTCCTAAAAACATGAAGTTTAAAATATACCTGTAAGCTATCTGGGTACCAATGGTGACAATGAGTTCATCTTTCAGTAAGCATTCAATATCAAATAAAACCTCAGAGAAGAACATCTGCAGGACATATGAGTTAAACTGAAGCTACTGTCAGCTTTTAAAATACAGTAAATAATTTATTTTATCAGTGTTATTGCTTTCATAATTAATATAATTAGATAACTTATTAAAATACTTAACTCAAACATTCATTTGTAAACATAATTCCACCTTCTTAGGTGATAAAATGCCAAAGGGCACTTTCCAATAATTATTCTTAATAATGTGTACAAGGTGCTCATGCTGTATACAACTTCAAAACCAGAGGAAGCTTAAACAGCTGACAGGGTTTTCCCCAGAGTTTGATGTCTGATGTTATTAAACACACTTTTTAAAAAAAAAAAATGCTTGCCTCGATTAAGTCTCTTTTAAAAATCTATCAAAATTATTTCATTAATAATTACAGACAAATCTAAATGTGAAAGGTAATATACAAGCTGAGCAGCAAGCACACTTCTGTGTCAAGAAAGAACAGTATTACTACTATTAGATGAAGATTTCAGGAGAAATTAAGCTGAGCAGAATCTCTGGTCATAGCCTGGTTTAAACTCCCCTAAGAGTTCTCAATTCTTCAATATGAACAGGTAATCACTACATAAGATACGTCTCTCAATCAAGTATTGCTGAATTCTGAGCCTTTAAAGGATTCTGTGGTATAAATCAGTTCTTAGGTTTCTCCACTACTAGTTTAGTAGTGGCTTTATCAGGGCATAGAAGGTTACTTACCATCCACCCACCCATCCATCCACTCAACCCCTCACACCCCCTCATCCACCCATCTATCCATCCATCCATCTGTCCATCTTCTCCCTTTTAAAATGTTTAGGTATTGCCGGGCTCGGTGGCTCAGCCTGTAATCCCACACATTTGGGAGGCTGAGGTGAGTGGACTGCCTGAGCCCGCAGGTTTGAGACCTGCCTGGGCAGCGAGACTTCATCTCTACAATAAATCAAAAAATCAGCCGTTCATGGTAGAGTATGCCTGTAATTCCGGCTACTCAGAAGCCTGAGGTGGAAGGACCACCGGAGCCCAGCAGGCGAGGCTGCGGTGGCCGGGAGCAGCCACTGCACTCCAGTCTGGGCGACCGAGTGAGACTCCAACTCAAAAATAAATAAATAAAAAAAAAATAAAATAAAATGTTTAGGTATTGTCTCCTCTTATTTTTCCCATCTTTGTGGATTTGTACTTTTAAAAAAACCCTTTAATTATAGTTTTAGAGGAATTTGGGGAAAGAGCAAGATTAGATGAATGTTTTCAGGCCAGACATGGTGGTTCATGTCTGTAATCCTAGCACTTTGGGAGGCAGAGGTGAGAGGATTGTCTGAGCCCAGGGGTTCAAGACCAGCCTGGGCAATTTGGCAAGTCCTCATCTCTATAATAAACCAAAAAATTAGCCGGGCATGGTGGTGCACGCCTGTAGTTCCAGCTACTTGGAAGGTTGATGTGGGTCAATCACCTGAGCCCAGCAGGTTGAGGCTATTGTAGTCATGGATGTAACTGAGACTTTGACTCAAAAAAAAAAGAATGTTTTCATCTGCCATCTTAAATGGCAGCATATTTCATTGTATAACAAATCAACAACTTAAATAAACATATAGTTTATTTCCAAATACTGTATATTGCAAACAGCACTGCAATGACCATTTGTTCCCACAGAATGGATCCTTTGGGAATGTAACCTGATAAGACCATCCTGAAGAACAACTCAGCAGTGACTATCAAAATCAAAAATGCACATGACCAAGAGTTTAGAGGCTATATGTACTTATACATTTTACGGATATTGCTAAATGTACTCTAGAAAGGACATATCAATTCACTTTCTTATTAACAGTGCATGAGAGTCTCTTGCCTACATCCTTGCTAACACTGGCTACATTTTAGTTTTTAAAGGCATTATCAAGCCAACTAGTAAAAGAATATCTATTTTGTTTCGATTATTCGAAGGTTGAATAGCTTTGTTTAGTGGATATTTGTAATAATTCTATGAGTTATCCATTCATGTCCTTTGCCCATTTTACTACCGGATTAGCTTTTCCTTATTATCTGTGTGGGGAATTCTTATATGTGGATATTTCATATTAACCTCTTGTCTATTTATAGATTGTTTTCTCCCTATCTATTAGTCTTTTTGAGTGGGGTCTTCTGCCATCCAGATATTTTCCATTTTTATGCTGTTAACATCTGTTATGGATTTATGATGATGCTTAGAGAATCTTCCCCTGCCAAAATATTATAAAAATAGTCCCTTACGTTTTCAGAACAAAGTATTCTTCTAGCTTTGCATGTTCTTCCACCCCAGCCTCCACAATCCAGAATTGAGGTATTAAAACTACTTGAGAGCAAATACATCTTTTTGGAAGAAGAGATTCTTGGGAAATGCAGAAAAAAAGCACTTACATACTCTTCAGTCAGTCAACTTACACCAAGAAAAGATGGGTCAGAACAGATGAGCCATTTTGCAAATTATAAGAATTTTGTAAATAGTTAAAAGGGCATCCACACTGCTTATAACTCACTGTTGACGAATCAAGTTCTCTCTGGTTGCAGAGAAGCGTGTATGCCTTTCTTGTCCTCCTTACTAGACTAACCTTTTAAAGGCAAGAATTCTATCTTATCCATCCTTGTGTTCATGATAGCACCTACTAAAATTCATTGAACACAGAAGATTCAAAAATATTTCATTAAGTGAATTATATCTTGTAGAAAGATAATAAAACTAAATTATTTAAAAGGCAATATGCTTTATAAAAAGATATTTTGAACATAATAATCACAATAATACCAGCTTCTAGTATTCACTGCATACTTACTAAGTGCCAGTAACTGTACGTGCTAAGTCCTTTATACACATTGTCCCCACTAAGAACATAGACTATACGTATTATGTTATATTAATATTAAAAATATCTTCCTACTGCTGGAGTGGAGAGTCATTTTGTTCACTTCCATCATTACTTTGACTTCATTTTGTTCGAGAAAATGTCTGCAAAAGGATCTAGTTTGATCTTAACTCCTTGTAATATCAATATTTACAACGTGGCTTTTTTAAAGGGCTGGATAGTAGAAAAACTTAAGTTTTTATTTATATACCTCATGCAAACCCAATTCCAATTTCATCACCATTTCAGAAAGACGACGATTTTCTAATCTAAGTGCCTCTAGCTGATCCAAAATCTCCTAAAAAAGGAAAAGCAGAAAATATAAATAAATATAACAAATAAATCAGATGCATCTTACAAAATTTTTCCACATGGTAATTTTCATTAGGTTAAGTTATATCTTCATTCACATATAAACATATATATAAATAAATATGTATTCTCTAAAAAGATTTTTTTAAGGTATTACTAAGGTGAATTAACATGCATGTGATTAAAATATATATATATATATTTTAAGTTGGTGTCTCACTCTGTGGCCTAGGGTGGAATGCAGGGGCATGATCATGGCTTACCACAGCCTTGACCTCCTGAGCTCAGGTGATCTTTCCACCTCAGCCTCCCAAATACCTGGGACTACAGGTGTGTGCCACCATGTCCAGGTAATATATTGCTTTTTTGTAGAGACAAGCTCACTATGTTGCCTAGTTTGGTCTTGAACTCCTGCTCTCAAGTAGTTCTCCCACCTTGGCTTCCCAAAGTGCTGGGATTATAGGAGTGAGTCAGCACCCGGCCTAAAGCATCATTCTAAGTTAACAAGTCAGGTGAAGCAGGAGCAGTGAAGCTTCAGGTCACTGGTAAAAATCTCAATCTGCTCTCCTGTGTCAGCCTCCTCCAATTCGGCTTCTACCTGCAACGTCACATGGAATTGTACTTCCTTCATAAAATAAAAGCTTATTTTCAGTTCTCATTCTCCTTAGCCTTTCTGCTTAACCATTCCTACCTGAAAATATGCCTGGGCTCCTACTTGCTTGGCTTGGCAAAAGCTATCTGGATTCCTTCCTCACTGCTGCTTTGTTAAAGCTTCATTCCAACACCTTTTTACCCTAAATGAGGAGTCTCCTACGTCTGGTTCAAGTAGCTGCTCTTCATACTCTCTACTTTGTCGTCACAATCTCAGCCTCCCGGAGGTTTCAAATGCCAGCTTCAAGCAAGAACTCCCACAGCTAAATGCCTAACCCTGATTTTAATCTTGAACTTCAAGCCTTCTGTGAGCTGACAACTAGATATTTCTACACAAAAGGCCAGCCTTGACCTACAACTAAATGTGCCAAGCCGATGTCCACCAGCTTCCCTCTTCTGTGTACCTTTCACACAAATTCATCGTCCTCCCCCAAATTTTTCTCTGTTTCTCTGTTTCATTGAAGAGCATCACTTCCCATCAGCTGCCCAAACTTCAGTCCTGAGTGGCGTCTTTCCTGAACTCTGCCCACCCTGCTGGTCCTGCCAATCAAACACCAAGTCCTGCCTGTTTCACCAGCACCACCGCCGGAATTCATGCATCCCCCTGTCCCTCTTGCCCATTGCTTGGGCCCATCCTATGACGCACCCAGCACCCTCGCTTATTCTCCATTCAGGGAGCATCAGGACCTGGACTCTTGCCCAAGGCCATTCCCTGATGACCTCAAGGCCACACTAGATCCCCTCATGTGGCCGGCAGGCCCCTCAGGAGCGTGTCCCCACTTTCCAGTCTCACCCCACCACTCTACTCTCGCAGAGACCACTGCGTGCATTTTTCCTTTGCTGAAATCTTACCTCCCCCTCCCTCAGCTCTTTCCTATGCAATCCCTTAACTCCTAACTTAGTCATCACACCCTCTCTAAAACAGCAGTCCCCAACCTTTTGGGCATCAGGGACCAGCTTCATGGAGACAATTCTTCCACAGATTAGGGCAGGAGGGGCAAGGGGGGTGGTTTGGGGATGATTCCCGTGCATAACATTTACTGTGCACTTTATTTCCATTATTATTACATTGTAACATAGAATAAAAGAACTACAATTCACTACAAAAAAACAAGAGGCATGGTGGAAGTGGTAAATTAGATATTGGACGGATCACGCGTGGACTAAAATAAGTGCTGGATTCTGACTTAAAGCCTGCCACCAGATGGCAGCTGTACAATGGAAGTCCATTAACTGACTTGCCACTCACTGACAGAGTTTTGGTATGGTCTTGGTGCAGTCAAACCTCACTGCTAATGTTAATCTGTATTTGCAGTCGCTCCCCAGTGCTAGCATCACTACCTGAGCTCCAGTTCAGATCATCAGGTATGGGATTCTCTAGAACCCTCACATGTGCAGTTCTTAATAGGGTTCACACTTCTGTAAGAATCTAATGCTGCTGCTGATCTGACAGGAGACAGAGCTCAGGCAGTAATGTAGGCCATGGGGAGCGGCTGTAATAACAGATGAAGCTTCGCTCACTTGCCCACTGCTCACCTCCTGCTGTGTGCTCCAGTTTCTAACAGGCCACAGACTGGCACCGAGTTGGGGACCCCTGCTCTAGAAGGCTTCTGCAGCAAGCAGTCTAGATCCGGGCTCCTGGCGGTCTAGATTTGGCCACTGGGTTCTCCTCACATATCACTGACACAGTCACTTTACTCGTCTGTGTCGACTCTCAACTTGCCAATCCTCCCCAGACCACTTGGTTAACCAGCATTACCTCAACTCAAAGCAGACAACTAAGCAGGTACAAATTTACAGAATTAAATCTTATGGAAATTAAGTCTTTAATAAACTCCATCTTCAAAACAAACTTCAAGTAAGAGTTTTTGTTTGGGCTTCACCTTATGCTCCACTGCTTTTTCTTCTGCCTTTTGCATCTCTGCCTTGAGTTGCTTCTCCATGTCTGAGGAAGAGCCTTTGGCGGAAGCGATGGTGACATCTCGCTGATGCAACTCCCGAGTCAGACGGGAGATTTCCATCTTCATCCCTTCTAATGCAGAACTGTAACTCTGTTCGGCCTGTAAGATCTGTTCTTTCAACTATAAAGAAACAGAAAGGAAAGCACCAAAAAGTTAAGGGAAAGTATTTAGACAGAAAAATACCTTAATAGCTAATCAAATAAGGTAAAGCTTACCTTACTCCAAGATACTAAATTTTCCTAGATTAAATCTACAGAAAATTAACAATTTACCCAATTGCATGTCTGCACTGAAGGCCAGGTGGTTACACCTGCAATCATTTATCACGTCTGAAAACAGGTTCTTGATATCACAAAACAGAGAGGTGGGTCGCTGAAACCCTGAGGACGAGAATCCAAGTCCAGGCACACACTCAGAGGACAGCACCCAGGACCTTATTCTCTTTTCGGCTGCGACTCTAAAAATTTGCTTATGTGGTTTTCTGGTTCACAGACGATATTCAGCAAAAAAGAGAATGACAAGGAAAAGAAAGGGGCTAGAAAGAATATCAAATAAATAAAAAAACATATAAATCAACATAAAGAACAAGAAGGGCTCATTAACGCAAATAAAAGCAGTTCTGCATACCTCAATAGCCACTAAGGATATTAACTACATCACAGCACAGGAAAAACCATATAACCATACCCATCTTTAGTCAATGAGAAAATATTAAATGATAGTTCATAACTTTTTGCAAGCAATAAAGTGCTACCTCTTAGAAAGCTGTTCATCAAAACATGCTTAAAGTTGTAGAGTTCAAAGGGCACAGGCTTCAATTATCTTGAAAATATTTATTTGGCATCCTGACAGATGCCACAGAAATAGGGCACTTTCTATGAGCACATTCCAGGTGCTCTTCCACCCCTGAATAGCAAGTGGTCCTTTGGACTACATTTTTCCCTCATTAAAAATGACCTCTATCTTCTCCCAAACCACAGCTCAGTCAAAAAACACACAATGTCAATATTCCAGGCATGCAGATTTTTACCTTCTTAATCTCTGTCCTGTACTCATTGTTATGTCCCTCCATCTTCTTCAATTCTTCATATTTTTCCATTAGTTCTTGGCTCAGCTGTTTACATGTTGCACTCACAGATTCCAAACTATATGACAAAAATAAGATCCCATATTTAAAACAAACAAAAAACCCCTGAAACCTACAATTTGGACTATCTAATTTACCTTCTTGATGTAAAAAAAAAAAAAAAATCCTGCCAATATTATAAACATTACCTCACCCATTTAAAAGATTATATTTAAAAGATTATTAAAAAGGAAAAGCCCAATCAATAAAAATCTTATGATAAAAATGTATATTGTCAAAAATAATAATAAGCCTCATTTTATTCGAAAGAAAGGGTACACATATATCTCGATAATGACAACAAAAACCATCTTAAGTATTCCAAAAAGAATAAAACAAAATATAGGCGTGTGGATGTGGATAATAGGCAGAGAAAACTAAAAAAATACTTAGTAGTTTCTGGAAACAGAAGTAAATATAAAAGTAAAAAATGTATTACTTAAAGATAATCTAAATAGTATAGAATGACAACTTTTTTGTTGTTGTTTGCCTAAGCTCATAGTCCATGAACGTCTCTTTTACACACAGAAAACATTAGTGTACAAACAGTCATGACTCATGTTTAAAACACAAAGCCAAAAACTTCCCAGACAAAAAGTTTAGAGGTATGACAAACAAACAAAAAATTCTAAGTATGACAATGATACTGGCTATGATTGGCTAGCTATGATTATATGATTATAGCATGAGTCAGGATTCAAGTTACACCCAAGTTAATATCAACAGCACTGCAGAACCAAAAGGAGGAGAAACACGTGTCCACTGTGACCCCCTCTAAGAACAGTTGCAGTGAGGTGGTACAGAGGAAGGCCTACATGAAGGAGTGCTGAACAAGTAAAAAGTGGAGAACAGAGACAGACAGTATAGACAATTCTTTTAAAGAATCTGGTTTTGAAGGAAAGCAGAGAACTGTGGTCTCAGCTATTTAAGGGTACAAATTTAAGGAGGGTTTCATTTTTTTTCCAAGACGCAAGATATTACAGCATATTTTATGCCAGTGGAAATGATGCAGCCAAGAGGAAGAACTTGATGACGTAGAAGAGAAGGGAAATAACTACAGACACAGGATGCAAGTGGAGGGGTTGGTCTTAGAAGCACCAACCACAGTAACAGGTCATGAGCAGAGGTGTGGGCAGACTGCAAGAGATTTCACGGTTGACAGATTAAGAAGTTTCCCTTTAATTGTTTCTGTTTCCTCAGTGAAATAAGAAGCTAGGCCATTAGGACGCCAGAAAAAAAAGTCTTATTTTTTCACTAAGACTAAACATCATCAGTATGATGACCCAAAATTCATTTTAACAACTTGAAGTTTTACAGTGTGCATGTAATTATCTACCTGCCTTCAAGACGAGTCACCTCTGCTTGCAGAAGTTCTTCACTAGCATGGGTAAAATTCAGCTGGGAGAGCACAGTGTCCAGGTCCCCCTGCCCTTGAGAGGGGCACTTCCTTTCTGCCGGAGACTCCTCCCATGGCCTATGGAAGGATATAGGATGACTGTTAAAGGCCTTTGATCTTAGCAAACAAAAACAATGAACAACTGGCTTATATTTCCCAACCGCCTTCTGGTAATTAAACTCTCTGGAACTCTTCATTTTGACTCCTGTCTTATAAAAAGAACACAGGAAGAGAGAAGAGTCAAGACATGCTGCTTCTCAAAAAAGTGAACAGCAATTTACTCCTTTCTTAACAGTGATTTGGTCTGATTTTCCAAGGAAAAAGACAAAATGGGGCTCGGTGGCTTAGCTTATAATCCCGCACTTCAGGAGGCCAAGGTGAGTGAATTACCTGAGCCCGGGTTCGAGACCCACCTGGGCAAATTGGCGAGACCTTATCTCTACAACACATCAAAAAATTAGCCGGTTGTGGCAGCTCACGCCTGTAGTTCCAGCTACTTGGAAAGCTGAAGCGGAAGGACCGCCAGAGCCCAGCAAGTCGAGGCTGCGGTGGCCGGGAGCGGCCACTGCACTCCAGTCTGGGCGACAGAGTGAGACTCCAACTCAAAAAAAAAAAAAAAAAAAAAGACAAAATGGTAAAATCACTTCATTGACACTTGACACTTTGAGCCAAAGAAACGAAAAGTTACAGGAGCGTTCTGGCAAGAATAAAAATGTACATCAGATTTAAATCAAGAAAAGGGAGCACAGCTCATTCTATTACTTTCTACTATAACCTTCCCATAGCAATAATTCTTATTAAAAAAATTGACTTGAGAAATGTTTTTTAAAAAGGCTAGCTCAATGGCTAGCTGTTATTAAAGATAAGCAGCTACTAATTATGACCTATTTCACCAAGAAAGAGAGGCCTTCCAGGAGACACGGAAAACAATTCTCTTTATACCTGGAGTTTCACCAAGGGTAAAAACAGACCCTGGGGTTTCTAACTTTCTAAACATCACAGCCTTAACAGAGACCCAAATTGGAGGCAGAAGAAAACCAGCCACACAAAATTTAGTAGCAGTATAAAAAAATCTAACTCGCAAATTAAAACTAATTAAGAAAACTCACAATAGGATCCAGCATACAATTATGAATGTACCATATTAAAACTCATGCTTAATGCCAAACCACCAATGGCTAAGCTGCATAACACTGGAGATTAAATACACCTCATGGCTTCTCCTGTGTGCTGACTGTCGGTTGTCTTTAATTTTTCTTGTAGCGTCTCCTTTTGGATTCTTGCCTCACAGATGAGATTTTCTTGAGACTGAAGAGTTGCCTTCAATTCTCTCTTTTCTTCCTGCAGAGCCTGCAAAAAAGTCAGCTATTACTACAATTTCCCTTCAGTTCTGTCTTTTCTTCCTGGATCACCTGCAAAATCTCAGAAAAATAGTCAGATACTGTTACAATCTTTCTATTTCATGAAAAAAGGAAGCCAGGAAGTTAAACTGTAATTTATATAAAAATCACAATATTAACAAAGCTATCAGTATCTTACATCAGCTAGATAAAGAAGAAGCCATAGATTTTGGAACCTAGTTCCATGTTAATTATTCTCTCTCCATTTCACCCAATTATGTTAACTGTAAAACACACCTCTAATAGTTTTTCAGAATCCCTTAATTTTTCTTCTTTTTGCCGCTGCTCCTGCAAAACAGCCATATTGGTTCCAAGCAAGTCATTGACTCTCATGGTGAGGCGCTCTATTTCCAACTCATTGGCACAGATGGTGTCGTTGGCCCGCTCCAGCTTACTGCTCAGGTGCTGAATTTCTGATTGGCTGGAAAGCTCTACAGATTCTAATTTCTGTTTCCGATTGGTGAGCTGAGCCTAGAAACACATAGATTATCAACAGGGAAATGGTTATTCTTTAGAATAATCAATGAATAAATAAGACCAAAATGACACTGGGTATTATTTCCATAAAAACATTAAAATATATGTAAGTAGGACTCAGTGGCTCAGCCAGTAATCCTACACTTTGGGAGGCTGAGGTGAGTGGACTGCCTGAGCCTGTGGGTTCAAGACCCGCCTGGGCAACTTGGCGAGACCGCATCTCTACAATAAATTAAAAATTAACTGGGCGTGGTAGCGCGCACCTATAAATCCAGCTACTTGGAAGGCTGAGGTGGAAGGATCACCAGAGCCCAGCAGGTCGAGGCTGCAGTGGCCAGGAGTGGCCACTGCACTCCAGTCTGGGCTACAGAGTGAGAATCCAACTCAAAATATATATATATATATGTAATACATGTTGAGAGGGGTAAAGAAAGAATTGAAAGATAAAGGAACCCCTGGGGAGAAGAGATGCTGCCCACCTACTAAAAAGATAGCTGCATCCCCTTCTACCTACTTATTCAGAAATTCAACTGTAACCATGAGCCATCAACATGGGAAAACTTGAGTTACCTTCTATTTAAAACATAGGATATAGTGCATTATTCTATTTGTGACGGAAGTTCAGAAATTAGAATTTTAAAAATCATGAAGCTTGTCAAATTTTGCTGTCCCCACCCATAGTATGTTGCATGTAATTATTGTTTTAACTATATTTTCAGACACATAACAAATACTCATATTCAGATTATTCAAATTGGCTATTAAATTTAATAAAGACAGGTGGGAGAAATTGTGGAATTTTGTTTACTGAAGAGAAAGGTGCTTACAAAGGGAGAAGACATTGGTTCTGTCATTAGTTCTTGAACATTTCCTGAGTTAAAAGATTAAACCAAATATAGCATATCTCAAATTAGTTTCTTTCAATGTATTTATTGAGATACATACAACTAAAACCAACTTGGCAAATGTCTCGTAGACCCGCAGTACATAGTTCCTAATTTTAGGCTCCACGTTTCAACTGTCTTGGTTTTTAGCTTCCAACTTTCTAGTTTTCACGTTTTAATAGAGCATTCACATTGCTACTTCATCTACACACTGAAGTTGGCCATAAATTATCTGTGGAGGTAAACTTCCTTTATTCTAAATATTTCTAAAGGCAAAGGCACACAACTTTATTTTAGAAATAAACTAAATCTATCTGCTGCAGATTTAAAGATTTTATTGTATACAGTATAAGGCTAAAATCGTGTACTATATACTGTGGCCACACAAAACATGATAAAAACTGCCCATAGGCCAGAGAGAGGGTAGCCAGAGAGAAGTGAAGAAAAAGACAAACAGTGTTTGCAAATTAAAAATCAAGATTTCAGCGTAAAGAGCCAATTTTTTTAAACCAGGTCTCTAAACAGTATGAAAGAAGAGCATCAACACAGGTTTAGATTCACTGGAATAAATCCAAGGCATACAATTGTCTCCAAACTTTTACACACAATGTAAGCTTTTTTCCCAAATAAAACCTTATACAGAATCCTGAGCAGAATAACTAAATGCAGAGAGTGGGTGAGGGTGGGAAGGAGAGAGTGGGTGAGGGTGAGAAGGAGAAAGGGCTGGAGCCCAGTTGTAGTTCCAGCTACTTGAAGGCTGAGGCGGAAGGATCGCTGGAGCCCAGCAGGTCGAGGCTGCGGTGGCCGGGAGCGGCCATTGCACTCCAGTCTGTGTGACAGAGTGAGACTCCAACTCAAAAAAATAAAAATAAAAAAAATAAAAACTAAAAAATAAAGCAACAGGGCTCTTTTATGTTCCAAAGGATCCCACTGCGGGCATCGATCCCTCACCAAGCTCCCCATCAATGTCAACTCCGAATACGTCAGTGCGGGCCACAACCTTGTGGCATTTCTACCAGGCAGCAGCTTGCAGGGGTTGTTCACAATAGAGCTTGCAGGCAGATGCTCTTATCACTGTGTGTCCATGCCACTGTACGCTTTTAAACAGTGGGGCTGAGCCAATTCAACTAACTCTGATAACTATACCAAGACAAGAGATTAATATTTGAGTTAGGATCATCTTTTCTTCACAGTTTGTGATGGGAAAATGATGCTTTTAAAAATAAAACATATATACTTACAAACATACACACACACATAATTGAGCAGTGGATTTAAAATTAGCTTGAACAATATCTTATAGCTCATCTCAATTTTTCACAAGGAAAACATATATAATGCAACCTCTAGTTTTCTCACACACCGTTTATCAGCTACATATTTTACACTTTCTGTTGGCTTAATATTTCAATTTTTTTGAAATGTTCTCTAAGATTTTCGCGAGTGCTTCCTTTACACAACTGTATTATCTAGGCAAGGGGGAAAAGCAGCAGGTGATTCTTTGTCTTTTAAAGAGAAATTACCTTGCGTTTTAGACTGTTTATTTATAATTATCCTTTTCCTATGTTGTATAACCATCCTTCTGCCACTGCGTCTAATAACATACCACTTAACAACTGTACTTTTTAATAAAATACATTTTAATATTTGATAGAACAAATATCCCCCATTATTCTCCCTTTTAAAAATGTTGGCTAGTATTCATTTATCATTCCATGACTTACAGAATCATTCTGTCAAATCCTCAAAATGCAAGAGTACTTATAAAGACATCATATGGATATAATCACTTGAAACAAAACTTTAGATCCCCATCAAATACTTCATGCCAAAAAATCTGCAGATAAACTATACAAAAAAGAAATTATAAAGCTTTAGAAGAAATCTTGGCTTAGGTAAGTCTTTATAATATGCCATCAAGAAAGAAACCCTAAAAAGTTGATAGGATGTAAGCACTTCTAAGCAATTGTTCATAAAACAATTGTCTTTCCGTAAGAACTACACGGCAAAATTAAGGTAAACTGGGTAAACACACACAACTGCAATATAATAGAAAAAGGTTTATACTGCATGCTTGTCATATGAAGAGCTTTCTTTTTTTTTTTTGAGTTGGAGTCTCACTCGGTCACCCAGACTGGAGTGCAGTGGCCGCTCCCGGCCACCGCAGCCTCACCTGCTGGGCTCTGGCGATCCTTCCGGCTCAGCCTTCCGAGTTGCCGGAATTACAGGCACGCGCTACCACTCCCAGCTGATTTTTTGATTTATTGTAGAGATGAGGTCTCACTGCCCAGGCGGGTCTCGAACCCGCGGGCTCAGGCAATCCACTCACCTCAGCCTCCCAAAGGCGCGGGATTACTGGCTGAGCCACCGAGCCCAGCTGAAGAGCTCTTTCAAAACAGTAAAATAAAACATCCTAAAAGAAAAATAAGGACACAATTTACAAAAGAATGAAAACAGCCGTAAATCAATGAAAAAAATACTCAACCTCAGTTATAAGAAAGAGATGTATATTAAAACAAATGATCAGATATAATTTTTTTTTCACATGTAAGACTAGCAAAGACAAGCCTAAATGTGAGGAAATTCAAAAGAGATAATAGTGCCCAATGTCGATAAAGTATGAGGAAATCGAACACTGTCACACACTGCTGGAGAAAGTATCAATCCACCTTTGGAGAAAACTTTGTCAATATATATTAAAATCTTTAATAACGTACTCTGAGGCAGCAAATCCTCTTCTAGGGCCATTTCCTAAGAAAATAAATGGGCAAATACTGCCCAATGTTTAAATACAGATATTCATCCCAGAACTATTTACAAGACTAAAAAGCAAAAAACTGAATGTTCTACAGTAAGGGACTGGTTACACGAATTATGACACAGTCAGTGATTGACAGAGCAGATGTCTATGCAATCATTACGACTGCACATCTGTGGATATGGTACATTTAAAAAGAAAAGTTTCTGAAGTTGTGAAAACTGAATCAAATACCATATGACAAAGTCCTTAGCACGGTGCCTGTCATATAGTAAGCACTCTGTACACTTCTAAATTATGCTTCATGGAAAATCTTAAACATAGACAAATATAGAGAGACTAAAAAGAGGAACCCCTATATTCACCACTTGTCTCAAAAATTATCAGCACTGCTTATTCTTGATATTTTTTTAACGTTTGCCACTACCCCTCTCCATACGGTGTACATGTTTTCTTCCTATCAAACATACGTAAGTGTAATGTACACTGTACATGAGCACAGAAGAAGTCAGAAGAAATTACACCAAAATGTTAATCATGATAAATCTTTAAAGGGTGGAATTTTGAGTAATTTTATTTCATTCTCATGTTATCTACATGCTCTCATTTTTCTAAAATGATCATGTATTATGTATTTTTATTAGCCGACTAAAAGAAAAAACTCAAGCAAATATGATTCAAAGAGAAGTTGTTTCTGAAGTCCACCTTCAGATGTTAAAAACATATAAGAAAAAAATCTATGTCAAGATTTTTTAAGGGAGGGTGTTAATATCCATATAGCCAGTATCTCAGATTCTCTACTGTTATTGATCAGTGGTGACCCCATATATCAACCAAATGCAGTATGTCAACTTTGGATTCTGACTGAAACATCCAACTATAAAAGGATAGTATTTTTTTTAGAAAACTGGGAAAATTTGAACAGACTGGATATTAAATTATTTTAAGAAGTCTTTATTTATTCTATTAATATGACACTGATATATTATAATTCATCTTTTTGAAGTCCTTACTTGTTGAGAAATAAGATGATGTCTGAGATTTGTATTGCAAAATTCCAGACCAAAAAAAAAGTAGGGAAGGGTATAGAGTTTCAGTCTCATAAGGTGAGAAAATTCTAGAGAGTCACTATCCAACAACATACATAGGGTTAACATTAATGTACGGTACACTTAAAAATAGTTAAGGCGGAAAGTTTTGTTATGTGTTTTTTACCACAATGAAAAAAAATTGGCAAGATGATGGTAACTATTAATGCCAGGGTGACGGGTATACAGGAAGTTTATTTAGATGTTTAAAAGAAGGATGATCATTCTGCACAGGTACATTATGAATCAGAGACATTTTGTTCAGTTTGCCAAGGGAGAAAGAGAAAAACATTTATAAGTAACAATCAGGCAGTTTTAGTTTAAACAAAACTATCAGAAAAATAATTCCAACATCCACAGTAGGGAAAACAAATGTTGGCTCTTTAATGGCTTTTTATTCTAGCCCTAGCTGAATCATGGTTAACAAAAATCTCATTTTCACTAACAATGAAGTTTTAATTATGTAGAGTCAATAATCACAACAGTAGTTTGAAATAGGATAACAGTAATTTTTTAAAAAAGGATCTACAGTCAATAATAACACTCCATGTATACGTAATTGGGAACAGTAAAAATTAAAACTCAATTTGCTTTTTTTTGTGAGTCTGACGGCTACAATTAGAATCTAAAATATCTTATAGCTATTAGGTTGGTATATTGCTGTGGCACTCAAGTCCAAAAACCCTAGTCTAGACATCTCAGGATTTCATTTTTCTGTTCTGGCTGCATGGTTTGCTGCAGCTTAGAGCACAATTTTCTTCCTTGGGGTTTCTGTGGACTCTCGCCACGTCAAATGGAGTCACTCCAAGTAGAGCCGCTATCTGCAGTTTGTCAGGCAGCTGACATTTCAGGGAGATGAACAAAACGTCAATGCATTATTGAGAATTTAAGCAGCAAATAAATGCAATTAAAAAAAAAAACCTTCCCTTTAGCTCTCTTAACTTATCCATTCGTCCCTTCATTCTATAAAGCTGAGATAACGACAAACCCTGCCAGATGATCACAATGCCAAACAGATAACCTATGTACACAGCATCTAGAAGCAGCACTGGGACAGTGTCTAGTAAGAATAGATGATTACAAATATGTTCATTTTCCTTTTCGTTCTTGACTCTAACTGAAAGACAAATGGGCTAAATATGTTCTAAGAAGATATATTCCTAAATTAGGTGCCTACTTTTTGCTTTTGCTAAGCCATAAAAGAGAAGTTTCTAACTAGTGTTCTAAAAGAGTGCTTCCATCACCCCAAAGACACTACTTTCAGTTAGTATGTGCACCAAGGCCATGGGAATCTCTCCATATCTGTCTCCATACAGCCAGGCTAACTGAAGCGCCTGGCTGAGGCATCCGGCCAAGGCACCCCAGTGACCGCAGACTCGAGCGAGGCATGCAACGCAGAGCCAAGAGACCCAACGGCAGAGACAGAAAGATGCGGAAGAGGAGACACACAGAGGAACAGGGAAGGATCGGCAAGAAAAAGACAGGAGGGAGAGAAAGCTCTGGAGAGCAAGACTAGGAGCACAAACACGGATGCGAGTCAAGAGTGAGCTGAGTAAGCCAACCATGACAGAGTGAGCCAGTCAGTGAGGAGGAAAGCCAGCAAAGCCGCAGGCAGGTGCGTGAACAGAGCAGCGAGTCGCGAGTGTGTCAGGGAGGGAGCCATGGAGGAGGAACGTCCACGTGTGGGAGAGGACACTCCTGGAGGCTCACTAGATGGGAGAGGGCAGGGTTAGCAGCAAGAAGCGGAAGCGGGTGAACGGTCCAGGAAGCTGCACTAGGAAGCTCAAATGTAATCAAAGCCTATCTGCCTCTCATTATTTTAAAATGTCTTGCGCCTACCTGAATTATGTCAGATTGTTCGGCCAGAGCCTTCCTTTGTGCCTCCAGAGACGATACCTGTTGCTGATAAATCAAGCGCTGCTTCTCCCAGTCCAGCGATTTCTGGCGAAATTCCTGAGGAGGCAATGAAGGTGCTTAACTTCTAAGGGCGTCTCCTCACAGCCACGACTTCCCAGACTCACTTTTCCTTCCATTTCTCCTGGGTCCCTGGGTACACTCCTGCCTTTCTCCACAGCAGGAGTCCCATTACTCACTCATAGCTGATAGAACTGTCAAGTAACACCGAATTCCTCACATACTGTGCTGTGCCTCTGGATATCTGTCTTTCTAAATTTAACACCCTAATGGTGAAGAGTATAAAGCACAGATGCTCAATATTGGATTCCAGGTGATTGTCACAGATTTGCTGCCACCTAAGGGCTGTTATAATTTTCTAGTGATTTTTCAGAAAATTGGTGCTGAGATTCCAAAATATGATTACAGATATCCAGACCCAGGAATTGAAGAGATAAAAATAAATTTTCAGATGAGTTCCTTTGTATCCCAGATCTTACTTCTCAGTGTCTAAAACTCAGGAACCAAGCAGAGGCAGATAATGCCGTGTCTTTTGCTATCTAAATTTTTACTATCTCAACAGAAGAACTGCAAAGGCTTGAATAACAAGGACAATCTGTACTAAATTTTAACAGATATTTGTAACCCACATAGTTCAAAATTAATGATGGATCGACAGTAACTTCAAACTGCATGATCAAGAAAATAATCGCGATATTTACGAACATGCAGCAAATCAAAGAGAAAGGAAATTCAATCTTTCTATCACTGTCTTCAGAACTACTCCAGAAAGCTGAGCCTCCTTAGGAAAACTGTTGTTCACCAGATTTGTGATTTTCACTCACATTCATTCACTCAACCATACATGCCAGATGCTGCTCTAGGTGTTGGGGATACGCTACCATCAACACAAACAACAGTTCTCATCCCGCTCCACTGGAGGGCACGAGATACCTCCCTCACTGTACTGCACATTAGACAGGAACCTGTGTTTGGAGAAAGTAGAGCATGGAGTGCTCAGAGTTGGGGTTGCAATGTTTAAAAAAGATGGCCAGATCGGGTACAAAAAAGTTTCTGTCAACACCTAGGGAGATGGGGGTGAAGCTCCAATGTTCTGGGCAGAGGGAACCGCCTTGAAGTGAGAGGAACCTGCTGTGTTTAAGGGTGAGCGAGGTTGCTGATGTGGCTGGAACAGAGGGAGTGAAATGGGAAGCAGGAGGTGACATGGTCGGAGAGCTAGCTGGAAGTGAGACGTGTAAGTCATGAGGCTAGCTCCAGCTCGGGAGAGAAGTTGCTGGAAGGGTTTTGTACAGGGGGTGACATCATCGAACTTACACTGTAACAGAACCATTCTGGCTGTTGTGCTGAGTAAAGAGAAGCCAAGGTTGCCTCTGAGGTTTTCGCTCGAGAAAACCGAGGCACGGAGTTGCTGTCAACTGAAACAGGAATTGATTCTGGAGAGACGAGGAAGAGGGTCGGGAGCTTTATTTTGGGCATGTTAAGGGTGATACAGTTTTCGATATTAGAGTGGAGACAGAAAATAGGCAGTTGAAAGGTATTCTGTAATAAAAGGGCAAGGTCATGGCTAGAGACAGCCATTTGGGACTTATCAATGTATCCAGTGTTAAAGCTACAAAACTGAATGAGACCCCCAAAGGAGTAAGCATAGATGGAAAAAAAAAGAGAGTTTCAAGGACACCATCCTAGGGTATCCCATGTCAAAAGGTTGGGGAACAAAGGATATTAAGAAAGAGTGGCTTTCTTAATAGATAGGAAATAGAAAGACAGGAGAAAGAGGAAGGAATTGTGGCTTTTCTGAAAGCCAAGTCAAGAAAGTGTTTTAAGGAGGAGGAAGAGACCAGCTGGGCACAAATAAGCAGGTAGGATGAGGAAGAGAGAACCGGCCAGTAGGCTTTAGGAATGCGTAAGTCATTGGTAACTTCCATGCTAATAGCTCCAGCAGGCCTGAGTGAGTGGGTGCAAGAAAAATGGAACAAGAGGAACTGGAGACAAGTAAAGATGCCTGAAGTTACCTTCTAAGTTCTAGTTGTAAAATGGAGGAGGAAAATGGGGCAGAGGAGGAAGAGAGGAGTCACGAGAAGACACTTAAGAGGAGGGAAACGTGGAGGCTGGTAGAAAACATCCAGTAGGAAGGAAAAACGGAGGACGCAGAGGAGAGGAGAACTGCTAGAGCAAAGTCTAAGGTAAGGAAGGGGGAGGGCATGGATAGTCCCTCCGAGAGCAAAGGTAGGGTACAAGGGCACAGAGAGGTGGGTAGAAACTGAGTCGGAAGTCTGTAAACAGAAGGAGGGAGATCACTCAACGGAGAAGATATAGGGAAAAGTGAAGAAAGTTTGAGGAGAAAAAAGGAAGTACGATACACCCATGATGAGAAATGGAAGAATAAGAGGAAATACAGTATGATTCTGGGTAGCATCAGGACCCATTTGAGGTCAGTGGTCATGAATTTGGACAGCCTGGCTATGTTTTCTCCAGTCATGTTCAGCCACACATGACATGACCAGAGTTGTGGTTTTGCCCAAGCAAATATGATGAAGCAAGAGAGAAGCCCAGGGGACGGAGGGGCAGGTAAGCAATCGAAACCCCAAGTTTCACTGGTCAGGACTGATAAAGATGGGGCTTTGAGGTAGCTGGCGTTATGCTGTGGATAGCAGCTTTCAGCCACAGTTCCCGGCTCAAAACTTGCACAGCCCTTGCTACCTTCTCCTGCCCTCCTTTCACCTGCCTCTGATCTTCCCCCTACCTTTCTGACTGTGAGTCTCTGCCCTATGTCCTGGGGAATGGAATGCTGCTGCCAAGAGTTTCTATAAAAATCCAACAGGCTAGGGATCGGAGAACTTCTGGAGAGTTGAATGCATAGAGGCCGAAGAGAAGGTGAAGAACTCGTCCACATGCCAGGAGGGTGGCGCACCCCAACTCCACGGGGACAGAAGCCCCTGCACGCGGGACCCTTCTCAACCTGGCCCTATGGATCTCTTCATCTGCCTGTTAGTTCCTGGATTTGCGACGAGGGCAGAGGAGGAATCTCGGAGGCTGAGCCCTATCTGACACTATTCCTGGGTTGATAGTGTCAGAATTGAATCGGAGGACACCCAGCTAGTATCTGCTGCTTAGTGTGAGGGGAGAAGCCCCTGCATTTGGTCACAGAAATGTTTTTCTGTGTTGATGACTGTTGTGGTAGAGTGGGAGGAGAAGGAAAATACAGTTTGGGAGAGTTTTCCTAAAGCAGACAGAAAGAAAAGAGAACGGTCAGGAAGTGGCAATGAAGAGCAAGACGGGTATAAAGGGTTTTAGGGCAAAAAGGTCATGCCGACAAGCACTGGAGGGGAAGCAGCAGCTGTGTAGTCTCCTGATTCTAAGCTCTTCAAATGCATACAAATATTGAGATGCAAAACAAAACAGAAGTCAAAACTTTAGGCAATAATAATACATTCGCCCAGGGTAGAAAACTTGTAAGTGATCACACAAAGATCTGAACAATGTTTCTCAAATCAGAATCAGCTAGAGTAGCTGGAGAAAATGCAGACACCCAGGTCCCCTGTCACGCCTGGCACACTGGGAATTCCTGTGTGTCCTGAAGAACTCAAGGCAAAGACAGAGCCAGGAGCGGCAGCCTTATGCTGCTCCATCATCTATTCCCATCAGTGTTAGCTCACCACCGTCCACCAAGTCCTCAGCGTCCCTCAGTCCTGAAAACAAAGTCAGCAGAGAGAGGTGAACAGCTCACTGTGTCTAAATGGGAACTGAGAATAAACCACCTGATATGCAGAGTACTCTGCACAGAAAGTGCCATGTACTTTCAACATCTAGCACGTCCCCACTGCATTAGGTGCTGGAGACATAATGATACAGAAGGCAAGATCAATGCCCACGGAGGACTGTTAGTAACTGGAGGTCAACATTTCCCACTGGGGGAGATATTGGCATTTGGGTACCATAATCTTTACTATGTGGTACAGTCTCAGGCATGTTTAGTATCCCTGATCTCTGTCTCCTAAATGCCAGTTTCATGCTCACTCACTTCGCTGACCAAAAAAATGCCTCCATACAAATGCCCTCTAAGGGTGGGACTGCCCTGTTGAGAATTATTGCTAGCTAGTAACTGCATTAACCACAGGGAACCAGATGATGACAGGCTGTACACTGGCTCACCTCCCATCTTTGAAATAGCTCAGCAGCCGTCCTAGAAATGGTAGAAAATTGGTTTCAGGAAATAGTGCCATTAGAGACAGCATTTTCTTACATGAAAGCTGACAATCACTTATGAACAAATTATGACAATGAATGTACCTCTATTTTTCCAGTTAACCTCTCAATTTCAGACCGGTCCTCTCTGTGATTTTTGGTATTTCCGCGGAAGTCTCTCATTTGCTTCTTCTGTAGCTTTTCATAGCTTCTCTTCAGTCTGCCTAACTGTAGAAACAGTTATTTCTATACATAAAATTCAAGAATCTGTAAACAGTGGTGGTGGGACAAATTGGTATTATAAAAGCAAGAGCAGGGCTAACCAGTACTACTGAAAACAGATTGAGAACATGTTAGATTTCCAAACTAAAATTCAAAACAAAACTAATACAAAGTCTTACTCTTTCCTCTAGGCTTATGGTTCTCAGCCATGCTGTGCAGGACATGGATATCCAATAAGCAGGAAAAGAATACTTTGCAACTAAATCAAAATAAAAGCAGTTTTTTTTTTTCCAAATCTGAAGAATAAAATTGAGTTAATGAACAGAATTTTCTTATTTATTCCAACGTGCTTCTTAAACCTTTGGATCTTCCATTATTTAAAATCTAGTAACTGATAAAAATTAAAATACTGAATGTATTTTTTGGCATCAGTACTTCACAGTATTGCACAAAAATGGCTCTATTTCTTTCAGGTACTCAACCGAGAAACATGTCTTAGAATCTCTGCTCTAGGTAATATCAAACACATAACTAGGCCTGGAATAAAGAACAGAAAAATACTCTCACCCCTGTACCTGCCATATAATACGAATTTCCCACTTTACAAGCAGCAACAGGTTCATTCACAACTTCTTCAGGCTGAGAGAGCGAGCCACATGCATCAGCACTGCAGCCTCACCTCTTCGTGCAGTTTCTTTAACTCCTGCTTGTACTCCGTGGTCATCCTCTGCTTCATCTCTTCTTGTTCTTCTACCTGCTGATGTAACAGGTCAACCTAAAAGCAGATCGGTAGTAGCATTTTTCATTATTAGCACTGAAACAACATCTCTGAAGCACAGAAATATAAAGTCACTTCTGTATTTATTTGTAAAATCAAGTTCTCAAATGCATATATATGGTGATAACCCACTTCTCAGGAAGCCAAATATCTAGTTATTCAATAATCCACAACACTGCCAAAAAACAGAGAGCAACCAGTTTTTAGAGTTTCTAGGTTTAGATGAAAATTCTGACTACCAATCCTTTTCACCACAAAACTCATGAAAAAAATTCAAGAGATAGAGTTTTCTGAACTTTGGAAACCAAAAATACTGTATGAAAAACAACACAAAACTATGAGACTCCAAGAATATTTTCTCTAAATCAAAGTGCAGAACGGTAACGTCAGACAGAAAGACAATATGAGGCTTGTAGCTGCCTCCCATTTACACCAACTTCAGAGAAACCAGTCACACCAACCAGAGGAAGGAAGTTACCCTAAAAAAAAAATTGTGTAAAGACAGGGTCTCACTGTGTTGCCCAGGCTGTTTTCAAACTCCTGACCTCAAGCTATCCTCCAGCCTCAGCATCCCAAAATGTTGGGATTATAGGTGTGAGCCACTGCACCTTGGCAGAAAGTTATTCTAACCCATTCTTCCACTATGTGACATCAGTCACCACTATTTTATACCAAGCTCTCACCTTCATAAGTCTCCAGCAATATTTCTCTTGATAACCAGTCAGAATTTCATCTTTTGGCAAGTAAGGAGGGAGAGGGGGACAGGGAACAGGAGGTAATAACCCAATCAAAACACAGAACGGTAATTTTTGTAAAGTATTAGAAATAAACTCCTTATAAAAATAAGAGTCATACAATTTCAGTAAAAAAAATTCCGGTGGAACTTGAAAAACTCATTCTAAAGTTCAAACTAGAAGAATGGATAGTCAACAAAATAGAAAACTCTACTTTTTAAAAAGACCTAAACCAATGTTTCCTAAATTTCTGGATGAGAGGACACTTTCTGAGCACAAAACTAATAAAAAAGTCACTTAAAACAAAGGATTTCACTACGTAAAAATGTAAAACTTCTAAATTTTAAAAAATTCAATTAACAATATTAAAAGATAAGTAAACTGAGAAAAACATTTACAAAAAATAAAAAAGCTTTTAACTTTTAATATATAAAAACTCTTATAAATCCAATTTTGAAAGATAATTAAGCCCTTAATAGAAAAATTATCCAAGAACAAGAATGATTCCCACAAAAATATAAATGCCCAGTAAACATGAAAAAAGGTTTAATATCACTAGCAAACAGAGGAAAATTGAAAATTCAATGATATTTTACAACTATTAGATTGGCAAAGATCTTATAAAATAAGACCTATGTGGGTAAATTATTTGGAATCAGGAACACACAAATGTTTAAAATGTTTAGAGAAAAGCATAATAGCTTGTCTAGAAAGCAATGAAACTTTACCTGTACCTAGACCACTTACGTAACCAATCCCAACTTGTACCACACATCTTTAAAATAAAAAAGTAAAAAAAAGAAAGCAATGTGGGAGTATATATTAAACCCTTCAAAATCTTTTTCACATTGATCTAGTAAACTCTACTTTTAGAGATCCACGTAGAGAAAATAAATGTAGATGTTAAACATTTATTTGTTGACAGGGATGTTGCTCTTTTGTAAAACTAAAAAAACTGGAAGAAATCTAAATGTTTAATAAAAAGGAACTGCTGAATGAATATAATGAATGAATTAATACGCACCTGCATAATTAAATATGTGAACATTAACAGTTAACATGCAAAATACTTATCATATGAAAAACATGCGGATAATAAAAACTATCCTAAAATCCCAATTTTTTGAAAAAGTTTTACGTAAGTAAACTTGTATCATTTAAAGAAAAAAAATGCCAAACATTAGTACAGGTTAATTCTGATTCGTAGTATTATGGGTTATACTATTTTTTCTTCCTGCTTTATTGTCTTTTCTAAATTTTCTCCAAAGGCTACTGTATTTATAACCAAGAAAAGGCCATTTTTAAAAAGAAAAGAGACTAACCCCAAGCCCACCTACTTTGCGCTGATAAAGATCTTGAGGACTCATCTGTTTAACACATGTTGAACAGTCCTAATTATCCATATTTACTAGTCCACAGTCTGCTAGAAGACGCAAAATTAGAAGGAAAGTAGGCAGAGGTGGGACATGCAATGATCAGTAGAAATGAGAGCAAAGACAGAAGAAAAAAAGAGAAGCAGGTTATGTCTACACTGCTATAGCCCATAAAGAAAAAGCACAATCTGTATGTAGTAACTACTACTCCTAACAAAGATACTAAGAGAAAAGGCATGTTATATTTACTATCCACATGACCCTCAACACCACCAACCACTCCCCACCCCAACACACGCACACCCCTCTTTTAACTTTCAGTAGCTCTCTGGCTCTCGATCACATTTTAGACAAGACAGATCTGCAGAATCTTCAAATCTTCAAATGATTTCCTAAGACCTACTGACAGCACAGAACATGACTACAGAGTGCTCAAAGCGAGCAAAAAGAATTCTTCCACCAAGGCTTACAGAGATAAAGTAAAATGTTTTTAAGACAAGGGGCAATAAAGATAATCTCAGGTCAATCTGTTTGTTAATTAACAAGGAAATGCAAATGACAAAGTGCCAGACTCTAAAGAAACAAGGTGAAGAAATACAAAAGAGACTTACAAAAGAAACTGACAGACTGAGTGCAAGTTAGATTTCCAAACTAAGCTCTTCTGTCTGGCTGAAATCTCCTTTACACATACTCTACAGTTAAAGTGGACAGCAAAGAAGTCCATCCCAAAAAGGTAAAAAAACACTCTGGAATAATGATTCTGAAAAAGCACTGAAAGAAACGCTGCAGAATCAACTCCCCAACTCCAGAAAATAAAGCATGATTAACACCAACAGGGAGAGATGAGAACTTCAAGTTCTGGTTAATTGTACTGTTGATTCTTACACAACACTAAGTCACTGATCAGAAAACAGAAGTGAGAGTATTAGCTGTTAATGAATATCACAAGGCTGAGATGTTCACAGCTCTTCTAGTACTTCCCAATACAAGAGTTTTAGCATAAAACAAAAGAAAGGGAAAAAATTATGCATGTTAACAGAATACATTAATATAAAAAGAAACTAATAAGGATAAAATACAAGTGTACTTTGTGTAAACGTGAAATGAACTTTTAGTGTATAAGGCTGAAAGCATGCAAGCTAATTCATGTAACATTCAGAGTTAACCACTGTCATTAATTATTTCCAAACTTTTCCAGGCCCAAAAGAGGAAAACCCTGAACACCCACAGAAAAACATGCACAAAATACGTGTTTTTCAACCACTCAAATAGGAATTGACTGTTACTTTACTTTTTAATGAACTTAAACAGAAGGAAAATACACACAGAAAAGTACAGCTCAATGATTTATCAAGAAGAGAATCTGCCCTCCAATCACCACCACCATTCCAGAAGCTCTGTCTCCTCCCACCCACTAGTCACTACCCTGCCCACCCCATCACACATAACCACGTATCTGACTCCTAATATCATGAATTAGTTTTGCTTTGCCTGTTTTTGCAAACAGAATCATATAGAATGTACTCTTGGGCTAGCATCTTTCACTCAACATTATGTTTGCAAGATTCACCTACATTGTTACCTGTAGCAAAAATCTCATTCTCAATGCTGTATGTATTGCACTGCATGAACACATAACTTTTTAAGTTCCTTTCTTTTCTATCACTGATAGTCATTTGAGCTGTATTCAGCTTCTGGCTACTAAGAATTGTGCTGTTATGAACAGACATACCATATATAATAATCAGGAGTAGAAAAGCTAGGCCACAGTTTAACTTCAGTAGATAACTGGTAAACAGTTTTCCAAAAGCATTACAGCAACTTACATTGCTACCAACAATATGGAAGGGTTCCAGCTGTTCACAGCCTTACAGGGACTTTAATATTAATAGTTCTTTAGCTTTTAGCCTTTCTGGTGCATATCTAGAGGTATCCGTGGTCACACTTCACATTTTCCAATAAACAGTGAAAGTGATCCTTTTCTCACATGCTTACTGGCCATTTTGGATATCTTCCTTTGTGAAATTTGTAGAAGTTCTTCATCCCTCCTTCGTTGGTTATACGTTGTGAATAGATTAAAGGTTCAGTGCAAATCATTAGCCTTTTCTTTTACGATTTTTTTAATAAAACCTTTTCCCTATTCCAATGTCACTATGATAGTCTATGTAATTTTCTAGAAAATTTTTTAAAGCAGCTCACATTTAAATTTGTAATCCACCTAAGAACTGGATTTGGCACACGGCATGAAATTTTTCCTTTTCCCTCATACTACTATACAACGAATCCAGTGCCAGGTACTGAAAACACTCCTCACCAGCCTGCAGTGTCCCCTGTCATGATCAAATGTCCACACGGAAGAAATCTCTGTTATGAGACTCTTCATTCTGTTCCATTGGTCTGTTTTTCTGTCCTTCCAATACCACCCTGTCTTAATATCATTTCTAAAATTCTTGTTGTCTAGTCCTCTATGTCCTCCACCTTAATTCCTCTTCACCTAAATGGCCTTGGCTGCTTCCACATAAATTTGAGAATCAATCTTGTCAATTTTCAAGTAAAAATATACTGGAGTTTTTATTAAAAATAACACTGAATCAGCAGATCAATTTTAGAAAAACCAACACCTTTAAAATATGGAATCTTTCTATCCATGAACATAGTCCATCCTCCAATTATTTCCATTTTAATTTCTCTCCATAATTTAGAGCTTTCTGTGTGGAGGTCTTGTACCTCTTTCACTGGATTTATTGTATTTGGGGCTTTTATTGATACTCTTGCCAATGGTGTTTCTAACTTCATTTTTAATTGCTTTTTGCTGGTATTGAGAATACATTAAATTTGTGTTTATTAATCTTGAATTCAGCAATCCTGCTACATTCATTTATTAATTCTA